TTAATAACTAATAATTTCTTCAGTAGTTGATTGATCATTTATTTTCTAAACAAATAAAAAATATTAAATTTAACACCTCGAATTAATGTTTTATAATATATATTTTTACTTGTTTGTGGAAAATATGTGAATGTTGTTTGGCAAAAGTCTATCTATCTTTCATCGCTATATTAGCAGCCTTAACGAATAATTTCTTCAGTAGTTGATCATTTATTTTCTACTTTCTAGAGAAACTTTTCACTGAAGTTGCTTATTATCACAGAAAAGTTTCTGCTTAACTGAATGAATACTTTTAATTAAAAAATGCAATCAATTTATAAAAATGTTGCGTTGAGTGTTTTGAGATTTTGCTGCATATTAAATTTATTATAAATAAACTATTATCTTTAGTGAATCATTTGGATGTTTGTTTTAATTATATTTGTGCAAATAAGTGAGGGACCTTCAATCTTCTCCTTGCATTGAACCCTTGCAAAAAAAATCTTTTTCGATATCCTTAGAATTTTTATATTAGTCTTCAAGATTCTGCTTATTATTTTATGTGAAATTTAAAAAAAAAATGAAGTTTTCAAGATGGCAACTAAATGCAATTTTCGAAATGCTAGAAAATTATTGGATTTTCAGCAAAAATTTAATATATAAAGAGAATTTCTGAGTGCTCATGTGAATGAAACTGGTCTTGATTTTCCAATTTTCTTGTAGATTAAAAATTTAATTAAATCAATTCAAGGAATTCGCACATAGTTATTCTTCTTCTTCTAACAGCTCACCAGTACTGGTTAGGATGGCTCCGCTTGCTACAAGGGTAAGACATCTCCATGCTGCTCGGTCCGACGCCATTGCTAGTAGCAATAGAAGCCATTCCTTTTTCCATCGTCTAAGTCTATATATATATATATCGCTGATTCCCCTACATGTCCTTTCTGACTGTAACAGTCCAGGTCTTGATTGGCCCATCTCGATCTTAACATCACTTATCGCAGGATTTAACAAAGTATAGGGGTAATCTTGTGTTGGACGACGAAGGACGTGTCTTAACCATCGAAGGCGACTCACTGTGATAAGGTGATAGTTGAGCGAAAATGGATATAATCATGTGCGAATTTAGCCACACAATGGATCCATAAAATTTATCTTAGATATGAGTGGTCAAAGGCTGATAGCTTCTTAATATCTTCCACTCTCATTGGCCATGTTTCGCAGCATATAGGAAGATCGAACAAACTGTAGCTATATGGACTCGGATTTTCGTCTTTATGGTAATTTCGCGACGGTAAAGGTTTCATTATCCGGTAAAAAACATGTTTCTAGTTGTCGTTATTCGGGTTCCTTTGCCTGGCCATTTGGGATTAGAGTGGATCCAAGACGGGCACTTCCTCTATCGGCAATGAATTGATAAAAATAGATATTTTATCAGCATCTTGTATATGAGACGAAAACACTTTCGTTTTATTTATATTGATTTTGAGTTCAATTTTCGCTGCAGTTGTTGATACATTGTTTAATTTTATTTGCATTTCATTATAGTTATCAGTAAAAAGGACTACATCAGCAGCGTATTCGAGGTCTGTGATGCTATGCTCTGGACTGATTTGGATACTTCTTGAGTGCCTCCATTATCCAGTCTATCGCATAGTTGAGTATTGTAGGGGAAAGGATGTAACGCTGATGGACACCAGTTCTTCTTATTTCGAAGGAGTCTGTAAGCTCCCCATATACACAACCTGTAACAGGGTGATAAAATGCCTACATGGTTATTATTATTTGAAATTTACGTGAAATTTCAAAAAAAAGTACAAGAACAAGAATTACTTCACTTATCTGTTGATCACTTTAAAGTTATATTACTCTTGTTAGAATTTCCTGATTATACCTGTTGTTTACTATATTTGCTAGATTCCACCAAATTTCAAATTTGCTCACATTAAATTGCAAAATAACCAAAGAGAAGTGAGTAAGTAACAAATCATTTCTTGCAGTAGAAGGAAAACAATATCTCCGAGATTTTTTAATGACAGGTTTATTCCTATCAGAGGCCAAAGAGAAGTGCGAGTTTATTTCGTGCTCTATTTCTAAATAAATAAAATTGATTTTAAAATGTTTTAGAGCTGCAATAAATTTGATCAAAGTAGATAAGTACAAGAATGCTATTAAAAACGTGCGGATATTTTAAAAATTTTTCAATCGTGGAGGATATAAAGATCTATCCATATTATCCATGTTAGTTTGCCTAATTGTTGAGTGAACTCCAAAAAAACTCATAAACTTTCATTGCAGATGATTCAGAAAGATAATGATTATATGCTATAATAATATGTGGCCTGGACCAATCAACAGAAATTATATTCTGGCTTCGAGATTAATAAGCTTGATTATATAAATCCATAATACTGAAAAGTAACTTTAAAATAACTTTTTATCTAAGGTGTATAAAATCTTTCTAAGTTAGAAATCATGTTTTTAAATCGTTTCTTTGAAGATGTTATCCAATGATATGCAATAAAATGATTCTATTCTAGAATTTTTGAAATTCTCAGCACAGATTTTATTAAAAAAGCTTTCTCTATCTGGTAGCCTAGAAACTATAGTTGCTTCATATACACTGCCTTTCAACTAATTGCAAATCGAAAGTAGATGTGGCTTGAAGCTAATTATCGATAGAGATATCGGCTGACGTCTACAAGGATCTCATATCTGTTAATTTTTCTTTCGAAAAGAAAGGCTTTATTTGACAGCCAATTTTCTTTTAGTAGTCTTAGCCCTTATACTCTTGAGAACAAACATCCACAAAATCTAAAAGTTAGAAATTTTAATTTTAACGAAGACAGTGAACTTAAAAATTTGCCATTGGTTATGGAATGAATAATTTTCCATTGGCATTGTGACAAAATATATTAGAAAACTTCCGGCTTATATATCTTTATTAATTTTTCAGATGGAATATGCAAAATCTCTTATAAAAGAGCCATTTTATTTCACAGATTATGTAGAAAAGCATACTTCGAAGAATTTTAACAATCACGACGAAGAATCTTCAACTGAACGCTTCCCACTGCTTCAAGTACGTTGTTCATTTTTGAATTAATCAACAAAAAAAAAAATTTCGACTTGATTTATAAATCTTCTTTCATATATTTGACATGTTGCTAAAATAACTGAAAAGGTACTTTTTCATTTTTTTGGCACCTTTTCTTTTTTTCAGAAAAAATTTTTTATCACTTCGAATTGCCTAGATAAATCGCTGAAATTTAGTCAATAATTGATTAATAAAATCTTCTACAAATTATCTTGGTTTGTTAGAATTTTATGTCGATATTTGGGAAATATGCTTAGTACACTTAAGATAAAGATACACTAAAATTGTAATTAAATAGTGAATCTCTATGTGGTTTGCTTAAATGAAAAAGTTATTACTAGTTGATGAACTAATATTGGACTCATTATCGCTGAACTTGAAAATTTCCTCTTTCCAATCGAATTCTCGAAGGGATTAAGCAATTTTATCAAATACTTTTTCAATAGTTCCATAAATAATTTATGTATTATATTTATGTATGCATATTTTGATACCTCATTTAATATTCGTTTTTCTTCGTGCATCATTTTACAAAAACTTGATTGCTCTCCTCTTATTCATTAAAAAATTTCCAACTATTGCTGTTTTCCTAAGTATTTATTATGCTTGTTAAATGAACGAAAAGAATTCTATAAAATTTATTCGATGCATATAGACAGTTTGGATAAAATTTATAATTTTAGAGCTTAAAATTCGATGAAAATGTTTCGTATTCCCTCAGTTTCGATACTGCAGCTCGCTTGGATTTGTCAAATTTTTCGAAATTATATTCAACACGGACGGTAGTTTTTAGATATTTGGAAATTATTAATTAGCGCTCACCATTTCTGGTTAGGTAAGTTCCGATGGCAACATTGGTGAGCCAATTGGCACTACTAGGGTTTTTTAATAGTTAAAAATTCCTATTATGAGAAAATTTTTGTGCAACTTTTATTTCTTATATTTTATGGCAGAGTTTATTGCACTAGAGAATTTTATTAAATCACTCTCATTCCACTGAAAGTGATTAATTAAATTCAAAGTTTGCTCAATGAATTGGAATTGAATGATCCCTATAGCCTGGAGGCTGCTTCCCTCTACTTTCCACTACAATTTGGGTGTCAATCGTCAAACTTTTTTTTCTAAAAGTCTTTGATTTTTCCATGATGAAGTTTTTTCATTGGCATTCTTTTGAAAAAACTTTTTGCACGAAATTCTTGTTTTTTCTTATTTTTGCCCTATTTCATTTAAGTGCATTACTAAATAGCGATTGCATGCATACTTTAATATACTGATCATCGTTCACCATTTCTAGTTGCAATTGCTTTGCCTACGTCTATTACGGTTGGAAATTTTTGCAGGTAGCATGTAGATTGTCAGCATCAGCCGGATTTTTCAGTGGCTCTTTATTCATATTCGAGGCTAGAGGCTAAGCCATTGCCTCTCATTAAAATAATCCACTATGCATCCTGCAATTTTGCCCTTTAAATTGGGAATGTGGTTGTATTAAAGCTTTTTGGTTTATTAAAGAGTATTTAAGTTAGGGAGAACTTTAAAAAAAACAAAAACTAAAAATCTAATAGGTGAAGACAAATCAGTGGAAATTTTTTTTCCAACATCAAAGGCATGTCGCGCATAATATTTTATTCAATTTCAAACGGTATTACCGAAATGCATTGGTGACGAGCTTCTTTTCCCAATTCTTTAGATGCAACTTACCTTCATAACTGATTTTACTGATTTTATTTATTAAGATTAGCAATCAGAACATTCGGAGCAGAATGGTCGAGTAGGTCGAGACTCCATCGACTAGGTCTTAACCATCGTAGATTTAATTTCTTTTCCTTCGCGGGAGTAGATCTGTCATTAAAATGAATCTTGGTGATTTTGCCAGCCTCTGTGTACTTCCTTGAATTTTTTCATTTTTTGATTTTTTTTTCAAGCAATGAGTAAAAAGCTAATTAATTTCGTATTTCAGGTACTGACTGCATCAGTGATGTTATGCAATATTCTCGGCGCTCTTTGTATTGTGCTTAATTTTTTTATCATTATAATGCTAATCAGAAATCGCAACAAAGTTTTATCCAACGTTTTCTATGTAATTGTACTACACTGCGCTATAGTTGATCTTATTCGAGGATGCTGCCTTATGGCATGGGGTTTACCCCATTTATTAATGAATAAGAAGCCTACGATGAACGATCGTCTACTTGCTCTTAAGGTAGCTGTTGTTCTGCAAGGTTATCAAAAAATTTTGCACAGTGTTTAAATATAACTGAGAGGTTTTACCAAAGAGTTGCATCAATATATGCGGATAATGAGCAATTCTATGGTAAACTCTTAATAAACTTCCAACATAGCCCTCTTCTCTCAAAAGTATGCATTAGTTTACCAATGAGATACCATGGATTGAAAAGTCGAAAAAATAATAGAGAGATATCGAATATCAATTCAGATAAACCAATTTGCTTTGGTGATTTTACGGTCATGCAATTTGTTAACAATATTTAACCTGCTTGTTTTCACGACGAATGAATTTCTGGTGATACAGCATCCACTTTATTACCGAAGGAATTTCAGGCGACGAGCAGTATTAATTTTATTTCTTGCCAGGTTGGTGAAATTTTTCGTTTTTCAGCCAATTTGATTATGTCCATTTTGCCGGGATTCATAACTTTTCGTTTGCATAGTTAAGGATCGAATGATATACTTTCGTAAACTTTTCACTAGAATTTTGGCTTCAATATTTTTGAAATGGAGCAATTTCACTTTTTTGAGAAATCTTAAATTAAATTATGGCTAAATTTGATATAACTGCATTAACTCCAATATCTTAAAAAATTGGTTGTTTCAGTTGGTTGGTAAGTCTTACTTTCGGAATCGGATCGGTTTTCTCAAATTTTTTTGAGTCTGCTCATTCAGTTCTGGTATTTAATAATGATACTTCAATTGATTATCGAAATGGGACAATAGGTAAATTTTTTTGCATATCTTGGACAGAGATGAATACAAAGGTAATAAATTTGTATGCGTACAATCCTTTTATTAAAATAGCTCAATATTTTTTATTATTTTCGCTTTTTTAAAGGAATTTTTGAGTAATATACGATTGATGTAAAGTTTATTTTAAAAATAGAAAAATGGAGCAAAGGCCCAATTCTAATATAAGTAAACATAATGCCAAAAAGTAAACATATAGAAATAAATTTCGATTAATCAAAAACTTGGATTGCATTTTAGTCAAAGTGATTATTATCGACAAATAATGCGTGATTATGCGCTGACACCATTGTTTAACTCATAACTCATAAAATTGTTTTAAAAGACTAAATTAAGATTAAGATAGATAATTTAGCTATTGGCCGGATATTTACTACCTTTTTTAATACTTATTTTGTTACTTGATAATCCCCATTATTAAATATGGATTGCGATATAATCTTTAAAACGAGGAAAAATATTGCATATTTATTGGCATGCTAAAAATTATTAAGTTATTAGATTTTCTAGGTCAAGGTTCTCCAATAAAAAACTGATAAGATCCCACTGAATGTTAAGCATTGTAAAATAAGAAACAATGGAAAATTCAAGTCATTGTCATCCTTGAATGTTTGGATTGATTCCATAGGAAGACAAAATATCAAAAAGGAAAATTAAAACTAGTAATAAAGTTCTAAAAATCACAAAAGCCATTAAAATTTTTTGAAGGATCAGAAAAATCCTTTTTCTAGTAAAAAATCCTCAGAAAAAATCATCTCCGATTATGCTTCTTATTCTAACAGTAATCACCATTTCTAGTTTGGCAAACTTCTTTGACCAATAGGATAGGTCCTCTTTGCCAGAATTAGTTGAAAATAGAAATATAAATAGGTGAACCATTCGGATTTTCATTTTTAATGATATGACAAGAATTGAACCCATAATACTTGATTTCCGTTTAAGCATTGTAAAAAGCAAATATTTTCAAATTTTATAAGTTAGACTACAAAATCCAAGAGTTCATTTTCAAAAAATTATTTTCGTAAGACTTATGAGATTACGTTATCTCTATTTTTTTCTGATGTATAGTTCACTTGGTTTTTCGTACTCTTTTGTTCACAGAATTTTTTTTAACTGATCGAATTGATTTTGAGTTATCATCTAAAATTTTTCCACTTTTATACTCTAATAGCCTGAATAAAACTGCATAAAATCCAGCCAACTTAATTTTTATAATAAATTGACCATCATATGTGCCAATGCGCTTATATATAATTTTATATATAACTAAAAAATTGTGGGAAACGTGCTGAAGCAATAACAATGTTTTGATTTAATAAAATAGAATCGCTTTTTTTCTTGCAGGAAATAAACTTACACGCCGACATGCTGTGCTATCTATAAATATGGTATCGATGTTAATGATTTTCTTTTTATGCTACCTTTGTCTATTTATTGTCTTGGTGAGTAATAAAATGATTAATTATAAAGGAATCTTTCTTTGTTTACTATGAAAAATATCTACCACACCTCTATTTAATTGCACCATTAAAAACAAGGATAAGTAAGGAGAATTTCTTTCATATTGGTGAAAATATTAATTATAATAGATCCATCCTTTAGATTTTTTTGTACAGCTGTGATGCATGTTTTCTTTGGTTAGCATAGTAATTTTCCTGCATTTTTGTTTCTTTTCAGTGAAATTTATTTTCTGCAAACAATTATTTAAAATTGGTTCGCGACCAACAAATTAATTAATGTGATAAATTTTAAATTATATTTTTTGAGCAGTGGATTTGAAAAAATTTGAAACTTAGAATTTTAGATTTGCTATGGTATCATTTTAAGGACAATTCGAAAGTTTCATGCCTTTGATGCTAAAGGTTAGCAGCAATACTTTAAAAATCTTCTTTATGGGCTTATGTCAAATACTTAAGCAAAATATTCCCGTGAACCAATCTAGCGAGATCGATGATAGAATGCTCACTGGAAATTTTTTAATTAGACTATCTTTTATCTTTAATTAGATTAGATTAGATCGGGAAAAATGCTTGTCTCATACTCTCATAAAATACCATTGTTTTCTTTGGTTAGCATAGTAATTTAATTGCTAACACAAATTCGGCTCATGTGGCACAAAAACCTGATATTGAAGGCAAATAAACCAAATCTTACAAAGTTATTTTGTATACTCTATACTATCAGATATCGGATATCGGATTTTCATACATTGCTCCTCATACCAATTCTGATATTTTAAGATACGTTTTTTCGTTCAAATGAGAGTCAACGATTTGGTGCTCTTCATTTAAGGAGACTGAAGGATTTAAATGCTGAAAGCTATGGCAAGACAGCGAGTGATAACGATGGAGTTAAGTGAGTTCACTGAAAATATAATTTATTTATTTATTTATTGAAAACCAGCCAAGCAAGGCGACAAATGCCTTGTGCTTGCATTAATAACAACAGTTAAAGTAATAAATAATAATTAGTAAATAATAATTTAAAAAAAGAAAAAGAAAATATGACAAAAAATATGATAACAATCTAAAGAGGAAACAAAAAGGAAATTACAAAAATTACAAAATAATATAATATAGTACAATTTGAAGTAACTGTATTGTGTATAATCGGATGGTAAAAATCGAGATTTCACACTTTCTGAATGATGTGAACTTTTTAAATAATATCATAAATAATATTATCTAACTTTTTTTTAAAGATAGCTATGGATGACGCAAAAGCTATATCGTTTGTTAATTTGTTCAGTAATTAATATTACGAATAAAGAAATCATGAGCCCTTAGTTTAGCTTTGCACATAGGTTTTAGTAATTTTAGCCCATTAGTTCTTGTTGGATTCAAATTTAGCCTAAAATTATATTTTGAACAATCTAACATAACCATACAGAATCTTGTAAGTATAAATTAAATCTTTTAATTTATTTGTTTAATAGGACGAACCGAGAGAGAATCAAGGTCGTATTGTAGAAGTTTTCTTTTAGAATTAAAATTACAATTAGGAGAGATACGTCGTATATAAAATATTTTTGGAGTCCTTCAATTATTTTACTTGATTTACGATATCTCGGGGAGTAACACGCAACATTGTAGTCAAGAAGTGGCCGAACGAACGTTTTCTACTTTTGATAAGAAGACCTTTAGTTTTATTCTTAAACGAAAGAAAAATAAAATTTAGTTGAGGATTTCTTTACTATGGTTCTGCAGTGAAGGTCGAAATCGAGATCCACGATTATACCAAGATCGGAAATATGCGAGATTCTACTGATTATATTGCCATTAATAATAAGATTAGGAAAATTGGAACCTTTGGAATTGATATGAAGAACGCTACATTTTTGAAATAAAAGGGTAATTTGCCTGTCATATAGCCAGCTGGCTGTTCTGTTAAGGTCATCCTTCAGTGGAGATAGGCTATCTGATTTACCATGAGAATAATAAATTTTACAATCATCAACATAAAGATAAATAGTAGAATTTAGTACCACATTGGTTACATCATTTATATATAATAGAAAAAGCAATGGCGCAATACAACTACCTCGGGGAATGCCTGACTGAATATGTGTCATGTCAGAAAGAATGTTGGTGACACATATAGCTTGACGATGATCTTTTATGTAATCTGACACCCAGTTATACAGTTCAGGAAAATATAATTAAAAAATTTTATTGTTTATTTGTTTTTATTAAATTAATTTTATTGATTGATAAATTAATGAACCTAACAGAAGATGCTATTTTTTTTTGTAGGATAATCACTGAACATTTCGCGAATAAGTTGAAATTTTTCCCGAGAATTGAAAATAAGCGAGTAATAGTCTCATTATTTTATTAGTATGCAGGCTCGCTCAGTAGCCTGTTAGCATTAATAAAAATATTTGCCAGGGAGTGATTTAGTGAATTGTATAGGACAGATGGATGGTCATGAAGGCCAGAATTTTTATTTTTACGAAATAATTTTTTTCAAAATTATAGAGAAAGAAGTTCTCCTCGACGCTGGAAGAGATATCTTATGACGCGTCATAAGTATATCATTGTTATTGGTACAGTACTTTTCGTTGACATTCTTTTTCTTTTTCCGTATTCTGGCATACAACTTGTTGCTTTTTTACATCTTAACAATGTCATCACTACCTCACATTACTCAACCCTGATTAGATGGATATTGCAAGTAAGTAAACATCAAAAATTTTTGTACTTTTTTGTCCGAAATTTCATCTTTAGTTTACTTATGCCATTGCTTTTCCTTTAATTTACGAGAAACAAACAAAAAGAGAAAGCAAAGACATACTCTCATATGTGCCACACACAATAAACAAGGAAATGTAATGTAAAATAATAAATAAAATAAGTAAATATAAAAGAAATACTTATGGGTTTTTTTGAAACTAAACATGCATTTAGAGTTATATTTCTGAGTAATTCACTTCAAAATTTGTTATTACTTTGCCCTCAATTTTAAAAATACTTTAATATTAAAAAATTAGTAATATTAAAATAATAAATTTAAAATACCTCGAAAACATTAGTTGACCTTGCAAAGAATTTGTGAATTTGTTTAGTCAAACAAAGCATAATTGTTGCTTACACTAACGAAGAATAAGACTTTATTTAGCACGCCAGAAAAAATTAAGTAATTAGCATTTCTGATTAGGTTCGCTCCACTGGCTCTGAACAAAAAAACTTTTGCCAGGGAGTCATCTAGAGATGGAATTGCAGGTAAGATCCCAGCGCCACTCGGATTTCTTAATAATTTTGCTCCTGTTTGAGTGTTCGAAAACTCCGAGTCGGAAATCTGAACAATCACTTAATTCCAACAAAAGAAATTGAAAAATTTTAACTTAAAACTCAAAAAAAAATTGGTTTATAGATATTAATTGGTATTCATTCGGTTTGTCAGCCTATTTGCTATTTTCGTATGAATGAATTCCGTCGATTGGCTTGTTGCGAAAATCGTCGCAGTTATAATTGTCGTTCATGCAGCCAAATACAACAATCTCGTAAGTATTTCAAAGATTTAGTTTTCATCCCTAAAATGCAGCAGTGAAATAATAATAGGTCAAAATAAATGAATTTTTTTCTTCAGGTTGTCTAAAAGATTTTGTTAGAACCGAAGATCTTACAGTAAGCAAAAACAACCTAGAATGTTCAAGAATGAACTCCCGAATGAGATTGTTAATGGAAAATAAATCTATTTTAACGCATTTCAACCGACCCCCACATAGTACGAAAAAACGTTGTAGAAGATCAGAATCGTTCAATTTCGGGAAACAAACTTGTGCAAAATTTGCAGTTCGTCATAAATTCAGCACTGTTAGTTAATTATTTCTTTCTCGTCAATGTGGAGAATAAATTACGAATAAAGTTAACTCATAATAGAGAATCACTGATACAGGAAATCTTTGAAAGAATAAAAATAAAAATTATGATAATCGAACTTTTTTAATAACCGAGGTAAAACGCTCGTACATTGCTTCGAGAGAGTCAAGCATGTATTTTGAATATAAAATATATTGACAGGGAGCGAATCTCTCACTGATCCATAGGATATACCTGCAATTTCGTCCTCAAATGATTCTCTGTAACTCTAGCAAATGATCTGATCTTAATAGTCACCAGAGAGCCAAAGCAGATAGAGAATGCCGGTGAAAATTAAACTGAATTTTTGAAAATTAAACTGAAAATTTCTGCGGAAAATATTTTCAGCGAAGTATAGATTTTCCGAAGAATGGTCAAACGGTGTTCCAAATGGAATTGGCTGGTTGAAAGATATTTTTTCTCTTGTTCTGATATTTGATCAGTAAATTTTTGCGCGACACATATCGATCTCAAGCATAAGGGTTTTCCATAATTATTTACAGTTCCACTTATGTTTACTGAATCATAAAGAAGAAAAAACTAATGAATCGAGTTGTATTTTTCTACGTGTAAATAAATTGGTTAAAAATTGTTCGCACCAGAAACATGAAGAATTGATGAAGATCGGACAAATATTCCATATTTTTCTGTTATCTAGTATTTGCTAAGTCAAGTTTAGCGATTAATCTATTCTAAACAATATCTAATGAACTTAAGTTTTTTTCCAGAATTAATTGATTCTCCAAACCCGAATGAGCAGTACTAAAATAAATTAACTCAACGGGACTCAAACATGTAAATTTATGATTGTAAGTTAAAAATAACATATTGTATATTTCTTAACGGTTCTAATAAATATTGCAACGTTTAACTGATGATTTCTGCAAATGATGAAAAAAACAAGAAAAGGATGGGGAAAAGCACCATCACCAAAATGCGAAAGCGAAATACTTTGAGTTGTGAATCTTAAAAAGATTCCAATAAGTAGTTTGCCTTATCAATTACCAAGGGTGAAGAGGGGCCAATTAATGAAATAATGTAGTTAAACAATGTAGTTGTCATCAATCCAGATAGGTGCATAAGTGGTTAAGTGGTAGCAAATCAGCAAACATTGAGCATAATAAAACGACGGCACCCTAAAAGAAAGTTCTGATGTCGTCAACGGCTCAATGAAGAAGATAAATGATAAAATATAAAAGTGTTCTGGCTTGAATTGAATTCAGGTATCGAAAAACAGACCATATCCGAGTCTTCTGTCTGCGCTGCAAAATAGCGACTATCTGGAATGTGAACGAAATTTCAAAAACAAGATTTTCACTTAGGGAGGGCATGTGTATGGTGAAGAGGATGGTGGTCGTGGGTTGTTGGGTTTGTGTCGCTATTTATTTTAAGTCGTTGACGATTTCATTAGAAAGTATCCTGAACTTGTTTCCTTTCGTTTGATGGCCAAAGTGGTCTGTCATTGGTGCTTCGATCTTTATTTCTGCCTCTGTAATTCTCTGGCAATATGGGACCTCAGACGAGCTGTTATAACTGTAGCCAGCTAGGAGCAGGAAAGCTATACTTTAGGGATACCAACAACAGAGTTTACAATTTAATACGTTCCATTCTGTAGGAACAAATTTTTTTATGTTTGTTTCAATATTTCTTTATTTCAAAAAATATTTTAATTTGTTGTTCAGTAAACTCCACATATTTTCTTACGATAGAAAAAAAATTTTATATGGTTTCTCAAGAATTTTTAATTTATTTTTCTTTTCTTAGTGTTCCTTATTTTAATGTTATTTCCAAGAATATGTCTCACTTTTTTTTCTTTTATTCCCCTTTAATTTTTCGTTTAATCTCTATATTTTTCTTTTTTATTGATTTATAACTTGTTGCTTGCAGTCCCTGTGTTCTTGTCGCTTGCAAAAATTTTTATGATTCGGTTGTTTTGATTTCAATGGTACTTGGCGACCAAGTAATTATCGAAGAAGAAGAGTCTTCATCAGGTGAAGAAATATCTTCGGAGGCAGATACAGAATGCGATCCTCAAAGAGGTTTTTTCGATTCACTTTTTATGCATATAAGGATTCGAGATTTAAAATCCTTTTTTTTTCAACATTAATCATTCCTGAAGAAAAAATTTGGCATAATTCTCAAGGTCCTTTATGCTGTGGATCTCATTTATAATTTATAATTTGGTTACAAATTACAAATCTCTACTAGAATTCCATGAAAGTTACGGATTCCTTTGTGATTCTTTTGAACTTTTCGAAATCGTAGAGTCTGACGAAAACTGCTGATTCATTTTAAAGTCTGATAAAAGCTACGAATTCATGCAAGAATTTCGCGAAAGCTACTGATTCCTTCAGGAATCTGATAAAAACTATTAGAAATAGTTTTATGAAAGGAATTACTTAAGGAAGCTTTGATTTATTTTGTGGATCTGGTGAAATCTTTAGATACCTTTATGGGTCTTGAGAAGGCTATATGTCCCTTCTCAGAAAAAGTAGAAAGTAGAAATTTTAAATGGAAAGAGGCTTTTTTTTTTCACACATAATAAACCATGTGGTTTCTCCCACACATAGACACAGATATTCAGAACATAAAAACATTAGAATTTTTTCGCTTTGGCTTTACTTTAAAAGCCATTGGTCTAAATGAAATATTAGTTGCTTTAAAATTATTTAATTCATCACTGTTGATTAATTACAATTTTACAATTACAAATACAATAATTGCAATTTTTCTGGTTAATAATCTACAATAATCGCCTAATTTGAGTAGCAACCATGTTCCACAGTTGTTTTTCAGCATACTTTTCTGCTGATCGGTAGGAACAAGCAATAAATTGATAATTTCGTCTAAAATTTCGCTTTTTTTCGAATAATTCATCATGATCAAGTTCTTTTATACGCGTGGAAGTGTTCCTCCATTCAATTATCAAATTGAAACGATCGGATCGAAAAGCGTCCACCTGTGATTCTGCAGAATCCTTTCCCATCCTCCAAAAGCAGTCTGATAGATCAAGAGACATATTACGAGTAGTCATTTGTGATGGTTTTAATATACCATTTTTGAAATATTCCTTCTAGGATAATTTTATTAGGATAATTTTTAAGAATAGGATAATTAATATATTTTTTAATTCGTTCAGGATTTTGCATAATTTTACTCAGCCAAATCAACCTTTAGTTAACACAAGAATAGGCCTCTGCCCTAGTGGATCGTTACTGCTGACTAAGTCTGTAGCGTTAGTTCATTCAGTATTAACCGAACCGTCTTGGATGCAAAAAATTATAGCATTGGGATTCATATAATTCTTGCATACTCGAACAATAACATCCTTTGTTTGTCATGTCGGCAGTGACTGTCGAAATTATATCAGGCAAATCAACAATCATCATGCGAGGAATTGATAGATCTTTGAAATAAAAGCAATAACTTCATTTGAAGCCGTTTTTCCTTCTTTAACAGAATTACGGATCCGAATTTCGATTTCTCTACGTAAAAGCTTTAATTCAAATTCTTTTAATAAAACGAATTCACGATTATTGTCTTTGAATAGCTCCACATGATACGATCCTTTGCTTAATTTTACTTTAGCAGATGCACTTCATCATTTCGCCAGAACCTCGAAAAATGCGCCCACACGCGACCACATCCAATACGGAAGTTTTACCAGCATTCTTATCGCCAGCGACTACAAAAAATCATACCATTCAATAAGTACAAGGCTTCGGAATATCAATCAATGATTTCTTCATCTTTTTAAATCATATAGTTAATCCTTGATCTTTAAGGATTTTCATCGCTATTTCATACCTTATTCTTCTTCTCAACTGTTTCTAATTCGTGTTGTTATTTAGTGAATTCTTTCTTCCTCAGTCAACATCGCATATTTCATCTTTGGCGTCATTTGTATTGGGCGAATAAAATTTCATTGCTATCGATGTGAAAAATTCGGGGCATTTTTGCCGAACCGGTGCTGTTCCATCTTGAGCCATAAAATCCTAAATAAAAAAATAATAAACCTATCACCGTTTGAATTATTTTCAGTCGATCCCTCAAAACTTTTTTATGAGTTCTTGCCAAGCATCTAACCAACGTTCATTTTTTCAAAAATTCTCTTCAATTTTTTTATATTTTACAGAAATCTTTTCCAGTCGACCCTCATCAATTTTAACCCACTCTGGTAATGAAATTTCTGGTAAACGTTCTTTTCTTCATATCGATCAGATATAGCAAGATTACCAATAAAACATGTTGTAATCCAATATCTTAATTTCATCACATTTTTCAATATACCACTAACAATGGCATTGTCGTTTAACGAAGAAAAGCAAAGGAAGGTGGAATAGTTTAGTGGTTTTCTTTCTGGGGCAGGAGTAAACCTGTCCAAAAATCCGAGTGATGGTGGCGATCTGTATTTCTATCGCCAAGGGACTCTGGCATATTTATTTAGCCGATAAGCGAACGGAGTGAGTCTAATCAGTAATGTTAAGTTCTCTCGCAAAAAAAATCAATTAACTGTTTGTTCAAAATTTTTCGTCCCAATTTTTATTTAGTATATTTCTTCAATTTTCAGTTTCATCGGATTTGAACGGGGTTGTCGATTTTTCAGTTATAGAAAAGGTTGATAAACAGAAACGAGTAAGTCTCTAGCCAATTTGCTAGTTTTGTTATTTCTTCTCACTTGAAGTTTTTGTGTATATTTAGCATGTGATTCTTTTACTTCACATAATATTACAGAAGAAAAGGAAATCGAGACGTGAATTACGATTGCAGTTAATAGAAAAAAAATTAAAAGACAAAATGGGTATGGTGAAAGCTGACATTGTACGAGATCGTGAGTGTGAAAAAAGACTTGTGAAAGTTGCAACTTTGTTGGTTCCCTTTACTTTTTACTGATTTGTTTCTTCACTTCTGTCTTTAAATATTTTGAATTGTTAACAATTTAAAGTTTTTTAAGATGTTTCCTGCTTTTCCATACTCGTATTGTTCATTTTGTTTATTCATATTTATTGTATCTTATTCATTGCTCATATTACTGTCGGTATTTTCAGAGGCGTAGTTCATTTGTTTAATGCAGTGGCGCAACGACAGAAGGAAATTGACAAAAAACTAGGATTTGGCAAAACAATGTCTGAAAGAAAAGAGTTGATGGAAGAACTAAGGCCAAACAACTTTAGAAAGCGTCTTTTTAAAGATAATAATGTTAAAGTAAGTTCTTTTATGCGTTTTATTATTTTTTAAAAAGCGTATAAACTTTGTGGAAGGTGGTGATTTCATATTTTCTTTACCCTTTTCTTTAATTGTTCCTTTAGCAGGAAGAAGAAAATGTTCACTGGTTATCAGATGCAAAAATTAAACAAGAAAATAACCAAGGCAAATCAGAATCCATCATTGTCAAAAGTGAAATTGATAGTGATCTTGAGTGGTGATTTTATATACAATTGTTCGCTGTTTTTGATAAGCAACGTTGTTATAATTTCTTGTTTTTCAACGGAAAAATGAATGTTCACTGAAAATGTTCACTGGTTATGAGAAATTTTCATGAATCAATTTGATAAAGGTATGGTTGGTAGATTAAGGAGTTGTACCTGATGTTGCTTCTTTTTTCTGAAATTTTTTGCTTCTAGATTTTGGTGATAGAGTTAATGTGGGGTGATGGTGGTAAGTTATAACAATAGTAGGTGGTCTTGAAACGAATGCAGAAATAGTATAGCTTTATTTTATGAATATTGGAATATCTTCCACAGGGGGAAAAGGAGATATAGGAGTGATTTGCTTACTTATACTTTTTATTTTTTTTATAAATTGTTATTTTTTTTCTTCAATATTTTATGCTGGCTTGGTGTGTCCTATTGTATTTTCATAATCTTTCATCTTTTCATCTCAGCTTATCATGCAGTTTGTCGTCAATTGATGTAATGCCTCAGAATTTTGATGGAATTTTTCTAAATAATATTTTCTTTTTGTCGAATTAAACTCTTAGTTTAATATATATCAATACTATTTATTTTCAATAAATTAGAAATGTAAATATGAAATAAAAATTTGAAGGATCTTTTTTCTGATTTTTAATTTTATTACTTATTGTAATGGTTATATTTGTTATATGAATAGATGAATAGTTTTTCGGCTTATTCGTTTATTTGTTAACGGAGACTATTATTTATAATTTGTCTCGTTCCATGTTTTATTCTCCGAGCACCAGGTAGAAATTTTTATTTTTCTCTTCCTTACTTAGAGGTCATATTAGATTAATGTTTTGTGAAGCGAGAATTTAGCTTCCGCCTATTATAGTAATCTTTCATTAAAAATTGCGGGTAGCATTGGTGATCCACGTGTATTTCTGTTGCTAATTACCAAGAGCCTTTGCAAAAATTTCTAGCGGAGCTAACTCAGCCTGCAATGGTTAGTACCAACCATTTTCTTTTTATTTGCTTTTTTTTTTATTATTTCTTCATGTATGGTAAAGAGTCACGTCATACTGTTTTGATCCTATTGTTCTATCATCAGTAGTTTATTGTAATTTACTTTATACGTATTTCACTTGCAAGTTATCTTATCTTATCTTTACATTTTTTTACACGTAAGCATATAAGAATCCTTTCGAGTCCTATAATCGAAAAAAATTTTTTTACCTTATATTTCTTTTAAAAATTGTTAAAATTGATTATTTATTGGCATTTATCTTGAGACGTTTACTGTTATTTCTTCATCAAATTATGGTGGTCAGTCGATAATCACTTTCTTTCCTCTTTCAGGCGATTTACAATGAATTCGAAATTGATTGGTGCAGTTCGACCTGTTTCTACGTTTATACAGGTATTCATTTACGATACATTTTGTATTTATTGGTAAGAATGCAGTTAATGAATTTTGTTAGGTGAGGAGGAACTGTGATCAAAAATCTTTCTAAAAATAATTTTTTTTGGTGGAAAAAAATACTTTTTTATCTTCATTTTGTATTAAGTCTTTTATTTTTATATATCTTTTGTTTATTCATTTGTAAAAACAATGTTTTCTCCAATTTCATAATATTTCATGGAAGAACGGGCCAATAATAATATTAACTTTAGAAGGCCAAAACAGGATTCACAAGTCTTCCAAAAGTACAGCAGGATATATGCCGTGGTATTGCAATAGCGGCTGCAACTGGTCTTTCAATTTATCTCATTGATCCTTTTCACTTTTTTCCTGCGAAGAAGAATCCTCATATGTCTGATATAGGCTTGAAGCTCCAATCGAAGTGGTGTGTGTGTTTATTTCGTGTTTTTTTTCTTTTTTCTGACTTCGAAATCTATGTTTTTGTGAAAATTATTTGTAAGATTAAAATTAAATCAAATAAAATTATCTTAAGTCATCAAAAATCCTCTTACTTAAAATTTACTTAAAATACTTCTAGAAAGTAAATGAAAAAATTTTTGAAAATCATTTTTATTCAAATTGTTAAATTTAATAACACTTACATAAAATTTAACACTTATCTGTTCTTTCTTTCTTTGTTGAAAATTTTTCGAGAAAATTGATTTTTCGCTTTAAGGTTTCAAGCGGCCGTTAAGGGCTTGGAACGAGCTACAAAAATGACCAATATATATGGAATAAATGAAGATCTCAAAGAACTAAATCAAGCACAAGACGTTCTTCGAAGGTTCTTTAATTTACATCATTTTTTTATGAAATTATCATTCCCAAATTTCATCTTTTATTTATATAGATAACTGAACTTGAGATAATAATAATTTAAATTCGCTGATAATTTATTCCATATAATTTAATTTTCATAAAAATTTAATATATCTGCCTTTGTTAATTATTAGTCTGTATTCTCACGGATATAAAGTGTGAAATTCTTTTTTCAACTTTTTCAACCTTTTGTGCTTATTATAATGGAGCTCTTTAGCATTATATTGTTTAGTATGTATTATATATTTTTACAGTTGTTTCTTTTACCGCTTTATTATTCAATATTTTTTTATTGCTTTATGGATTCTCTATTTTAAAATGCAAGTATTTTTCAATCTGTGTATGGGATGAACTATACCCAACTTTCATTTGCAAAATTGATGCTGGTCATACATTCCACTTTCTTGTGCTGATTATAGAGGATATATCTGTTTTCTTTGCTGATAGCGCGGAATGGCATATTAAAGCAGTTTCCAAAAGAGTTTATTTTAATATTTCAGGTTATTAAATCTTGATGATCTTGAAGTTACATGGAGGCTTGGACGAATTCTTGTCGAACAGTCTCTTTTAGTATATTCTAATGACAAAAAGAAAGCTTATTTGGACGAGGTAAAATGATAATTTTCTGTTTTTAAATAATTGTATCATGAATCTTGCATGAGCATCGTCTTATTTTACTTCGATGAAATTGATTGTAGTGGTATTAAAATTTTTCATTAAGTAAATAAGAGCTTATAAATTGGATTTAATAGCATCAGTAGCAGTCGATTTACTTTGTAAAAAAATGTCGGCCGGAAAATTATGTAAATATTGCCTAAAATATTATTTTTAAAGTAAATAGAAAGGAATGTCCAATGTAATGTCCAGTTTGGTTGTGGAAGGGGGAAGATTTTAGATATCTTGAGCTTCATATATAGTCATTTAGTCTAATTTCGTGGCAAATAATGTTCGATATCGCCTTATATTAATTTCGTTTTATTTATAGGCAGAATATCTTCTGTCAAAAGCCGAAAAGATGCAGTACTTGGAAATGAGTACAAAAAATGTAAAAGAATCAGCCAATATTTTGAAATGGTTAGCATTACTTTTCCCATCCATTTTATGCTTTTCAGTGAATTTACAAGAAATTTGCGAATATATAATATTAGATAATTAAATAGAACAGATCCAAATTCGACATAATACTAGAAAGAAAAAATGTTGCATTTCAGTTGTATTCGTAAAAATTTTATTCTAACCATTGATCCATTCAATCCATTCATTTAAGAAATATAATTCACTTAGTTGAATTCTAATTTTATATTGCCAAAAAAATCGCGAAATCGAAATTTTTTTACATTCTTTAAAATACCCCTCTTTTTTCCTCAAATTGTATGAACAAAGCTGCAGAGTCGAATATTAAATCGCATTGGCTTGTATTTCAAGAATTCAGTTCCTACACTGTGCAAAAGTCTTTGTTTACTAAAATTTGCTAGGTAAATGGGAAATTCGACCTAAAATTGTTTAATTATAATATAGTGCAGTCTTTAGGTATAGGAGATCTTTAAAACCTTCGTTTTTTGATGGAAAATTTCAAATTGATTAATTATAATATTTAATTATAATATAGTGCAGTCTTTAGGTATAGGAGATCTTTAAAACTTTCGTTTTTTGATGGAAAATTTCAAATTGAATTCTAGTTTATTCAGGCGTGCGATTGGTTTGTTAACTAAGCAAACATTGGACAAAACTGTAGATTTGAAAGTAATTCAGTCTTTGTTGGATAAGGCCCTGGAGCTGGATGCGAAGGATCCTTACACTTGGTATTACTCTGGTTAGTCGATTAAAATATGTTTTTTCAAAATATTTAAGGAGAAACCTATTTTTAGTTTAATGCTGCAATAATTTCGGAATTTTAGAATGCATTACCGCGCAGATTTTGCATTTTATCTTTGCACTGGTGTAAAATTTTCAGGAATTTTGAAAATGTGCTTAAAAAAATATGAAGAAGCAAAACAATGTTTCGATGCTGCCAATAGTCTTGAAGTTAATTTTTTTCTCTCAAGATAAATACTGAATTTATTTTGCCATTAGAATTGCGAAGCAAAAAAATTTAACTCGAAATAGTATTAGTTATTGTCATTATTTTTTATACTAAAGAAAAGAATTTAGCCAGGGTTCTCGTCTTCTAACAATTATAATATTGCATTGGCGCAGAAAGCTTTAGGCGATGAAAAATTGGCTATAGAAACTATGAAAAGTGCTATGATGATAGCCCCGCGTTACAATCATGATGTTAAGGTACATACTTTTATATTCTAGTCAGTTTTCGACTCAATGTTATTAAAATTTTTGTTCGACTAAAGTTTAAATTCTTGATAGGGCTCATCAAAATTTGTTGTCTAATATTTTTCCTTGCTGTTCGTATTTTTGGAAATGTTTGAAAGGTTTAATATCTTCATCGAATGTTTTATTTGTTGCAGGCTGTGGTTGAAATGCGTAGTTTTCTCAGTTCAAAAAAGATTAAACATAAGTCATACTATGATCCTTATTAATCATTTAAATTGATGTTTAAGTGATGTTTACGTAGAACATTACATTATTTGATTACCATGAAAAATTTGAAATTTATATTCATATTTAGTATATTTTTTAATAAATATTCTTTTTAGCAATTCCATGATTTAATGCCGAATATATTACTTTATATTAATAATTGGTAATGGGTTTAGTTTTTTTACGTAGCATTTTTTCTTACGGTTGTTATTCATCATGCATTCAACAGACTTTTGTAACTGTGGGGCCGTATGGCCTCTCGCTCGAATATCCATATTGAAACTGTTCAGATGATGGCAATTTATATAAATTTAAATTTTAAAAACTATATAAATTTTCCTAAAGTTTTTGCAGTCATTGAATTTCCTTTTTGCTACAAATTTTATAATCACTGGAAGTCGAGAAATCTGGAGAATAAATTTTTTCTTTTTGTTAATAAATATCATAAACCAGTAATATGGCCTTAATCTAAGATCCAGTGGGTAGTCCTAGATCCCCAATCCATCCATCTCCCATACTTATCTCTTTCCCGCTTCCACCTTTCCTTTTTCCAAAACAAACCGAATGTGGCCAAAAATGTTCTCTTGGGAACTTATATCCGTTTTGAGATGAGCGGAGGGAAGATTCATGTTTTTATTCCATTCTCTCAAATTGATCTTTATTGTACCTTTCAGTCATGAGGTACCTATGATTTTTTCTAATATCTTTTCCAACTCTTGTACCTTTTATTTTCCTAATGCTCTCACTGGAGAAGAGATATAGGAAAGATAAACAGGCAGATGCGATGAGGTTGACCTGCTCATATTCGCCCATTCGGCGACAACGTTGGTCCTTCGACGATTGCAGGATTGAGTCCAGCTTTTGTTAGCTTGCATCAGTTGTCGTGGGTATATCAGTGTATTTTCAAAAACATTGTTTGAAATCTTTAATGAAAAGTTTTGCAAAAATTTTTTTATAAAATTGTTGTTTGAATTTAAAATGAGACAAACGAGGCTTGACCAAACCGTCGGATTGCTCGAAATTAAAATAATATATTGGAGATCCGAAAAAGTAAAAAACTAAATTTTCGGCTCATATTTATTCTTAGTTCTGAGATCTAAAAATGCCCGAAATATCAAATCGCAGTAGGTAAAACGCTGTATAATACATTTAAATGATTCTTGGGATTGTGGTACATTTCACAATGTTCTTTTGAAAAATCTGAAGTTAAATTGCAGTGGCTTATTATGTTGTTTTAGAAGGGAATGTAGTTTTAGAACACTGGATAATTTATTTACTGTTTTTCACTGTTATGAATACTGTTTTTTTGTTGTTTTTTCTGATTTTTTCTTTTGATAGTTTCATTTGGTGATGTTTCGTTCATAAAATTACTCTCAATATGGTAGGATATGGTCGTATTGTTTATTATGACTTTAATACAAAAACGGGGAATGGATTTAGTTCATATGTGCAAAAATTATTTCGAAAATCATTGGTTTATTATAAGGAGAAAACAAGAAACAAACACAATTAGCAATAACAAGTAAATATTGGCAGTAATGTCAAGCAGTTTTATATGGGTTTCTTTTTAAACTGAAGTAAGCTGTGGTGGCCAACGAATTTTGAAGTTGATGCTTCTTGGTAGAGATAAGAGTGCAAAAACAAATTTTCGTTGTAATAAAAAATAATGTTAAACTTTCGGCAATATTTTGCCAATAATTGAAAATGTTCATCTATTACTAATAACTAATGGCAGTGAAAAAATACAGAATGGCAGTAAATAATAACAATTACAGTTTTAATATAAAAACCAAAACCAAAAGCAAAGGTAGTTGCATTAATAACCGTCTTAAGATGAAGAAAATCGAAGCAAATATAATGAAGTCACCATTTTACAAAATTTTAAAACTGTTCAGCCTTTTTGTTGTACCTAAATATAGCGAATGAAAATTATGAGAATAATTTAAATGCATCGAACCAGTCACCGTGAACAATGTTAAATAGCTGTGGATGTTGCTGGACGAGCAGTACCATCGTTGTCTGCAAAGTTAAGTACGTTACTTTTAATTTTATAAACTCATATGTCCATTTTTGCTAATCAAATTTTTCATCGTTATGCAGAAGTTGTTATCCTATATATTTGGAGAAGCACATTTATTTAATTGATTCTTTATCTTTCGCTGATAGTTCTCAGCATTTATGGTTTGGATGAGTGCATTGACTGTCAGGATCAGATTCGCCAGCCAATTATTTAGGAGGCCAGAGAATAGCTGCCATCATTACTGGTTAGGCCGGTTGCACTGTCTGCAAGGGTAAGGCTTCTAAGCCGCATCACACGGATTACGTTCATTAGAACTTCGATTATTGAAATGAGCGAGAAATTTGCAAGATTTCAACATTCAACATTGTGATTCGATTATGATTCAATACATTCAGTAGCCCGATTCATAGTATTTCCCACTTGATATGTGCAGTATTTGAATACCTGGTCGTCATCAATGCGGTTTTGGTTAATCATCTCAGCAAAGACTCGATAATAATATGCGTAAAAGCGGTTTAAGGCATAAATATCTCCAGCAATAAACCCACCACTTAAGACGGCCCAGTTTTTACGGTACAGATCTGCCATTGTGTACCTAGATATTTTGTCGTGAGGGGGGGTGACCTGAAATCTTTTGTCCATAATTCATTACTACAAAATCGACCAAAAAATCTAGAATTTTGTTTAATTTGTATAAAAATGACGATTTACTTGAATGAGTGAAATTTTATTGGGCAAAAATTTTGGCTTCCATTCATAATTTTTTGGAAATATAGATCGATTACCATGACCATAGCCTGCATCAAGCCAAACCATAAAACGTGCAGAAAAGGGATTTTCAATCTGAAATTGGATGTATGAGTGAGCAAGGAAATCAAGAAAGGCTACTGGATTAAAACAGTACTTACTGATATCTTATAAAGAAAGTACGGCTTGGAGTTGACTAGAATATTGTAAATGGCGCTTTTCCCTTCCGGATGATGCTTCATTGTTTCATCCCAATTAGAGTCCCAAAATATTCCCTGTTGCTCTCGTTTAATAATTTCTTCCGCTTTATGAATGTATGCGTAAAAAGGAAGTTCATAAAATGATATGGGAATTATCTGAAAGTTAAATGTTTCGAAAATCAACTACAAATTTTAGATTGTTTTATTTTTTATTTTACCGCTTATTTGCACAATAAGAACTATTTGCGCCAATACAAACGCAAAAAAGCATCTGGGAAAGAAATTCTTGGCATTAAATAATGAACTGCTAAACATCTCAACTCGTTTAGCTTAGACTATAAACTTAAAATTCATATCCATCGCATACCGATCCGATAGACAATTTGAACATTCTTCACACACCAATGGTAACTTGACGATCAAAAAGCGAACACATAGTCCTAATGATGACCGGAGAAATGTGTCTACTAAAGGTTCAACCATAACGTTTAACCTTTGAATAGCGAGAAAATAACAAATTTTTTAATATTCACCTTTGTTTTCTGTTCAAATCCAAGTCCTCTTCTTCGTTTGTAAATGTAATCAGCACTTTTATCATCGAGGAAAATTACAAGATCCACGTTGAGATGAAGAATATTGTCCAAATACTGATAATAATTTTCAATAGTGCGTCTATATTCCCACCAATTTCCTCGGCCAATATCCAAAAGAGCAGTAACGAGAGTAAATTTACTGGTCGAAACTTCCGCTATGCTAAAATAGGTTAGGCAAATATGATTACTTCCCATTCTATTAATTTTTTTGATTTCTGCCAACAAATACAAGGTAACGGACTATCATTCAACTACCTCGGTGTTGCAGAATTTGAAGCGATATGATCGAATTTTGCTTCTCGTAGCGAGTATGAGTTTTCTAGATATATTTGTCGCTTTGTACCAACCAGTTTTGGCCCTTAATTTAACAGTGATAATAAGAAAATTCAAACAATTTACTATTTCAACTATAAAATCCAACAAGATATTGTCCGCAACTATTAAAAAACGCTTTTCATTTATTTAGTCCTATATTACCTACTACAATATTATAATTAACTGGCTTTCGTGAAGCTGAAATAGGCTGAAATTGCGAAAAGTCATTAGTTTTAACCAAGGTTTGTTGGTGCGGTGCTTAATACAGCTGTAAGCACTGACTTCGGTGCACGAAGTTCAGCATCTTCTGCTGATTTATTTGCTTCCCATTTGTTCGTTTTCCAGTCCAATACCTGTTCAATATTTTGGTTGTAAAGTTTAAAAGATTTTTTTAGAAAGTTACTTGATAATGCATATAGAATATATCCCAAGAAAAATCATTTAATCTGCTTAGTATTACAGTAATCTAATAATCTAACGGATCTTGGAAGACCTAAAAGTATTAATGTAATAGAAAAGAAGTGTTTTAGTGAAACAAAACTGTATTGCCGAGAATTGTATTATTGTGTTGCTTATTTCTGAATTATCAACTTGCCAACTTTTTTTCGTGGATTACTTGCAGAAAAATCAGTGGCCTAATGAAATTTTTAATAATGATAAGGTAGATTTAAATTTTTTCGACAATTTTTTTGCAGTTTGTCTGCTAAATGATATAATAGATAGCATCAGAAGCAACGTGACACAATCATGAGATGAATTAATACAGACAGAAGAGATTTAGAAGACATAGTTCAGTGATATATGGGTTTAAACAAAAGAAAAAAACGTGGCTTTTGTTGTTTCCATATATAATATTAGATCGAGAATTTCGAAAATCCCACTCTTGTAGCTAGAGGAACCAGTCTAATGGTGCAAATCATATATAATCATAATTAATTCGGGTTAGTGAACAAGCCACTAAAATTTGGTATGATATTTATCACCATTTTTATCTTTCTGGTCTATTTAAAATTGATCTACCACATTTAATTTCAATTCTTTCATTTATTTTGATAAATTTTTCAATCATCAAGCTCGTCCAAATTACTTATTAGATTCCGTAAAACTTCGCCCTCACAAAAAAAGAGCACCTCGGGCTAATCCACTATAATGAAAGCTTTAGGTAACAATGGTCTAAGGAACTTTAATAACCATTTATCAGGTGAAGTGATTTGATTTGTTGAGAAAAGATTTTTTCAGAAAGCAACTTAAATATTAAGTATTGTTTAAAAAAAAAGCCATCGAGCATTTGCTAAGCTTTTTTTAAACTAAAAAAAAGATCAACTTTTTCAGAGAGCTTAATACTATATAAAATTATATTAATTATATTGTATAATCCAATATTTCTCAAAATATTTCAAGGAACCTACATTCGCTGATGATTTATCTGATAAAATTTGGTTCGAAACTGCTACATTTCGAATCCGAACATATGTTCCGAGTTTCGCATCAAAACAATACTTTCTTCTACGTTTCATATGTCTTCCTGCATTGGATTCGATTATTAATGATTGTAAATTAGCCTCTAATTAAATGGATTTAAATGGATTAATAATAAAGAGAAGTCGAATGGTACATCGACTGAGGTCGAAAGAGATTCCTCGATGCGAATAAACTAGCCATAAGCAATCCGGGTGGTGCTCGACATCCCTTATCACCAAGTGCTTTTCTGCTAAAAGGGTCTCATAACTAATTTTCTAAATGAGTTTTACAGACTGCTGTTAATTTTTAATGATGAAAAACCATTATTTGCAGTATGTAACTTAATAATTGCGATTTTACGATTTTAAAGGCAAAACATGACCTAAGGATTCTGCTACTTTTCTAAAAGCCAGGATGTTGTAATCCTAAAGCTAAAAGATAGATTAGCCGAGGGTTCATTCTGCAACATTCAAGATCCTAAAGATGGATTAAAATGCTTAAAATGGAAGATGAAAATTATACTTGAAGGATTTAACGAAAAACTTGATGTAAAAGTTTTAGCGATTTTATTGATCAAATATGATTCGGTTATATTGATTCTCAGTGCTGGCTTTGTCGAAATTTTCGCAGTGGAACTGTTAGTCAAATTTGTTATGCTAGCTAGTGAGGTCGGATGGACTGTAGGCCGCTGAGTAAGTTTTGATTCTTTCTTCTGAAACGCTAAGAAAAGATGGTTGTTATAGAGATTTTAATGAAATCATTACCTTTACCCGCGGTTAACTAGTAATGTGACTTCAAAGTCGAGTGAAAATTTTAAGAATAAAAGTTTTCCTAACGTATGAACTTTTTTCTATTATCAGTTTCGTCGAGACCAAAAATATATCACATTGAGTCATTTATGAAAAAGATTTCGCTAGCGCTTTTTCTACTTTTCCGTCTTAAAATACTAAAATTTTGTGGCAAAATTATACGATGTTTTTTACCCGATCTATTAAAAGCTTCAAAATATTTTGTATTGCTATCAAATTCAGGATTAGAAGAATGAGTAATGATCCAGTTAATAAGGTGAAACTTTTCATTTTTATACTGTTTTTCGTTGATTAACCTGCAATTTACATATCTTATAATGTAATTATATTGACGCAGATAAACCAAACGATATATAATTATTCTCCAGCATCATGCGGAATTGTCTTTTCATGGCAAGATTTTCTTCCTTTAAGGGCCGAGGCCAAATTTATTCTAGGTTTCAGCAATAAATCACTCGGGCATATCCCAAAGTTTTGGCATAAAATTCAATTTATCCTACGAAATTTCTTCACAAAAAAAATATGAAAAAAAATGTCTAATATTTTTAATGAGAATGCTCATGCTTCATAAGCAATGCGCACATTGAAAAAGACATGACTAACATCAATACGGTTTAATCGTTCAGTTTCACACCACTTGCAACATTCGCCGCACTTTTTTTCGTTATCGAAATCTATCTGAAAAGAACTAGAAATATAGTTTTTCATTTAAAAAAAAAACTATATTATCAATTTTCTTTTTGAGAGCAATGTATTCAACTGGAAATAGATGTGGTTCCTTACCAAAGTGAATTTGGTTTAAAGGCTTTAGTGGAAAAATAACTACAAAAAAATATGCAAGGAAAATTACCGTTTAAAAATATAGACAAAATTTCGCCTTATTGACTTTAAAAAGTATGTTAAAAAGCATTAAAATAGGGAGTGAATGATTGAATGGTATCTTGTTTCAATTAAATTCATGCCGTTACTGATCAAATTCTTGCTCTTCGACAATCTGTCTGTCGCGAGATGTTTCTGTTATTCCAAATTTAGTATTTCAAACCGACACGCCAATGAAAACGTTTTTAAACGATTCTTTGATTTTGCACTTTATGTGTCAATAAAACATAAAGGACAATATATGTTGTATTGGGGTGATGCTGGCGACTCACCTGTACTTCTATCGCCAAGAGACTCCTTGGCATATTTGTCCAATGCGATAAACCAGTGGAGCGAGTGAACCAGTAATGGTGAGGACTATTAAAAAAAAAGAAGTATATGTTGTATATTTATGAAAATCTTTCTTCTGCATTTTAAGGCGCCATATCGTTCTTATGCCATTTTAGGCGCCATTAAGGGACTCAAGCGGTTGGGTCCCAATATTAACATTTAATACTAATATTAATGTTTAAAACATTCATTCGCTTAATATATCCTTTGCCGCTTTATTCTTTTCCTTTGTTTAATTATCCAATTTGATAACGCGTGGCAGGAAAGCATCATCCCACTGCTTCCCATCAATAATTTTATTAATCTAATTTTTACACTGTCATTAAAAGTGAAATTCTGGAGAATTCGTATTGCAGAGCCACCTATTTAAAAAGCATCTTATCCAGATAGTGAGGTAATAAAATAAATAATGAATGCTCTTAGAGAAAAATCAGTATTGAGATGGATTTTCGAAAAATTCTCATGAAATTTTTGATTACTCCTGAAATACAAACATAGAATGAAAGTAATACGCTGAATAAATCTTAATGCTATACCTTCCCATATTCTTCAGTATTTGACGGTGATTTGTTGGTAACATAATCCTTATAAATAAATCCTATTTTAAATAAAATGTGGTCCAAAGATATTGAAAAGTATGTAAATAACGGGGAGTCAGTTCGTCCAATTGCTGTATTAAGATATAGAATATTATTATTGTTATTATTATTAATTATTACTATTAATTATTATTATTGATTATTATTATTAATTAAGATATCGATATTATTAATTATTATTATTAGATATTATCGACTGATAATCGATTATTGCTTCGTTCGCACATCTCAGATGATGAGTTTTTTTTATCTTTTCTCTTCTTAAATTCGATTTTTTTAATTAATTTTCTGGAATTTTTTTTATTTTTCCCCCACCTTATACTATTATGCATAAATAATATTATAAGAAAATATATTATTTACCTTCGACAAGAGTAAACCTGTCATATTAGAAATCCGGGTGGCTGCTGGAGACCCACGGGTAACTCTATCCCCAAGCAACTCTATGGTGAAAGAGGGAAATGTTTTTGACACGCCGTCCGCGTCCTCTGACCCGCATAACACTTTCAGCCCAGTAGTACATGCGATAAACATGCAAACCGGACCTAAAACAATCTCAAGGTTCATAAATAAAATATGCTCGCGGGCCAAGACAATTGCTCGAAACTTATCAAGGGAACGGCCCTTTCATGTGCAGCTAGGTGTTAGCCATATCAGCGTGGATCATCAGAAAGCTTGTGGACGTTGCAAGCCAAGCGATCACTGTCCACACTCTTTGTAATTGCTATTCCTGACTTGAACCAGAGAGATATTGGCTGTATCACTGCGATGTTTCGGATAACTCGGAGCGAAATGGCGTAGCGATTGTAAAGGGCCATTCTGCTTTGATTGAGTGGAAATAAGCGACCGTATGGCCTATGCCCACTTTAAAGGTAAGTTCTGCATTACTTCAGTCATTAGTGTTTTATGCTTCGGCTATGTTGGTAGATGACCGTAATAAAGATAAGTTCTATGCGGAACTTCAACTGCTAATAAAGTCTCTATCGAAACACGATATGGTCGTAATCGAGGAAAACTGGAATGCACGCGTGGGTCATAATGCCGCTGCGATGATTGGCAAATATGGCATCGGAGACCGGTGGGCCAATGGGAAACGCCTTGTCGCTATGCCTATAGCCGGAGAGCATGAGCACTGTCTGAAAACGATGCCAAAGTATGAATATCAGAAGATCCTGATTGCACGATGCTTCGAACAATTACAACAGCACGGTGGGATAGAAATCACTATTGGAGTGACATGGCCTTGAGAATGGAGACGGCGGTTTTGGCGACAATAAATTATTCTTATTCTTAACAAATTATTCTTTTTTCATAAATTATAAGTCGAAGAACGTGCCTATTAAGACTATTAAGAATAGCCTTATAAGATGGGAAGAATTCTTTGAGGACAAACTTAACCATGATGCTCCATCTGCTGACCTGGATGTACGTTCGTCGAACCTTATTTTTGCAATTGCGAATCGCCAACGGAAGAAATAATCTCCGTCATCCATAAGTTTAAGGCCAATAAGGCCCCGGGAGAACATGGTCTTCAGGCTGAACTTTTCAAATGTCGTTCATCGCCCTTCATAACGCACCTTCAAAAGTACTTTCTGGTGGGGAAGAAAGAAATATTACCAGATAACTGGATCAAAGCAGTTCTGCTCCTAATTCCCAAGAAAAGTGATAGAAAATACTGTGACAAATATCGAGGAATCAGCCTATTAGATGTCTCAGTGAGAATTTTTGCTTCCCTTTTACCCAATAGATTTATGATAGTACGGCAGGATGTGCCCTAATCAAATTGGATTCAGATCAGGATGCAGTTGCGCAGATATTCACGTTAAGAATGTTAGAACACCGCTTTAAATTTCAACAAACCACCAGCATGTTTTATCGATTTTGTAGCTGCGTTCGATTCAATTGATAGAGTAGAGCTTTGGAGGATGATCGAATGTGAAGGTGTGTCAGAGAATCATTCGGCTCATAAAAGCGTTTTATTAGCATACATTGGGTCTGTGTATATAGGGAACTGGAAGACTCCTTCGAGATGGAAATTGGTGTTCATCAAGGAAGCGTTTCCCCTATAATATTCAACTATGCGATAGTAGGGATCATGGACACCACTCGTCGGCACTCAAGAGGTGTACAAATTAGTCAAGAGCATTGCAGATCTTGAATACGCTGATGATGTAGTCCTTTTTGCTGACAGTTATGACGATGTGCGAACAATGCTAAACAATGCTAGCAAATACGGCGAGAATCGGATTCAGGGCCAGTGTAAATATAACGAAAGTCTTCTTACTTACAAGAGGCTGATAAAATTCTCTTTTTATAAACTCATTACGGGTTGAGAAAGTGCTCGATTTTAAATATCTGGATCCACTCTAATACCGAATGGTCAGGCAAACGACCATATTATAACCGGCATTATGGCAGATAAAAATGTTAATAATGTTATGAAGAGCGTCGCCTTCGCTGGTTAAGGCACATTCTCCGTCAGTAATTGACGCATATTTCGTTATTTACTAAACCCTATGATGGATGAGCCAATCGAGACCTGGACTGGTACGATCAGAAAAGATTTTGAACGCATAGGTGGACTAGCAATATATGGGCTTAGACGATGGAAAAAGGAGTAATTTCTATCACTGTCGACGATGGCATCAGATTAGAACCATCTTTCCCTTACCTGGTCAACCTAACCTGTAATGATGAGAGGTGTTAAAAGAAGTATGATCCAAAAAAGATTATGTTAAGCCTAGTCCTCAAATTATTTCCTTTTTTTATAGGAAAAAATTCATCATTATTCTTTAAAATTCAGCCTTGCAATATTTATGAGTAGGCTTTCCTGGCAAAATATTCAAAGTCAATGTGATTTATAGTCAAAGATATTGTATTTTGATAAAGCATAGGCTGAATTTGTATTGCTTACATTATCATTTCAAGTCATTATGATCAAATCTCGGTTCCTAGTAGGAATGAACATCTCTTAAAAAAAAATTTTGAGCGAATTTGCTTGCGCCTCTATCCCTCTATTTTATTCAATGCCAATAAAATCTCATTATCGTAATATTTATATACTTGTTTTACCTTATTAACGAGAGGAATAAGTTTAACCAGAAATGGTGTTGAAGAGAAAAAAAAACTATTAGAGTTAATAAGATATTGCGAAAAAATGTTGCATTAATGTTAAATGAAATGAACTATAATTTTTTTTGAAATCTGAATCTAAAATCTGTCTTAAAGTGTTGTCTTACTAAATGCCTTGGACCGCCAGTTTGCATTTGGACTATGTTCGAATCTACACAGTCAGCCCATTAATCACTCGCATTCCCACCTGTCGCAACCTCATTTTGGCATCATTAATTATTTATTTATAGCAGCTAATGCAAACAAACGGTTAAGTAACCAAAAGTGGTACTAATTTTCATTATGGCTTACGACCCATGCAGAATGCTGCCACAAATGAACAGTGAATAAATCGTTTAGTACAAAAACACTTTGGGGAAATATTTGGCGAAAGTAAAAACCAAAAGTGAAAGTAAATAATAAAAGTGATAATAAAGTGGAAATATCAGAATAATCGCTAAATGAAACTCGAAATATCAGAATAAAGTAATGTAAGATATTAAGATGCAGAACAAAGTACGAAACACCTAATTAATAAGGGAATTATACGAAAAAAGGTGAATAAAATGTTTTATCTATAGGGATTAAAATTGTCGTCTACAAAATCTCAAAAAAACGTGGTAATCAAAACTATTGAAAAAGAAATATTTCCTGAAAAAAAGAATTTTTTTACTAAAAATTACTCTGGAGCTTCTTAAAATCGTCTTACGTAATAAAATTGTAAAATAATTTCACAAAGTGCGATTATCAATAATTCATGTTGAAAACGAATGAAAGATTGTGCAAATTTATTATATAAGTCGAATAAAGCCATGTTTTTAACGCGAATAAAATTTTAAAATAAAAAATAAATAAAAATTAGGAAGAAGCAAAAAAGCAAATAGATCTGAAACAAAATAGAATTATAAGATGTTTTATAATTTTCTTTTTGCACATTCAATTTCCGATGTCTCTTTGGACTCACCTAAACTGGATTCGAAATTTTCTCAAAACCATTTTTATGTACTCACAAGAAATTTTTTTTTTCTTAGTGATATTGTAGAGATTTAAACAAATGGTAATGAAAAGAATTAAAGGATCAGAGCTATAATGTGGATAAGGTAGAACTTTCCAGCAAAGTTCCACGAATTTTCGTTGCACTTTTTCTGAAGCATGAAGTTGCCTTTTAATGTTGGAGTATTACACATTTTCTTTTAGTTAGCTATAAAGTGGATGTAATTTCGCTGAAATTGTTATTGAAAACGATTGGATTTGATCTTTGACCAGGTTAATTCCTTTGTCCTCCACCACAGCACCACTCTGCCGTCAGATTTAGCCATCGTTGCTGGTGATTCTTTCGCTGATAATCGGCGTCGTTCACGATTAGAATTAAGTAAAATAGACTTTTACTTTTCATTTACGATTCTGTCCAAAGAGAAAAAAATGTGAAGTATGTTTGTCTTCGGTGAGTTCGTAAGAAGCACAAACGTTATTCATTTTCTCTTAACATGAAGGTAATTGAAGATTGGCTGATATGATTGCTTTCTCAGCGATTTCATTCAATGATTTTTTGGATCAGGTTCATTAAGCAACGCTGAAAATCATTACTTATTTCTGGTATACCAGAATATTTGAGTATATGTTTAAAATGCCGCTTTTAAATTTCGAAAAGCACATCTTATATTTCCTCACGTTCATCGTTCTTGGATATACTTCGTTCATATTACTCGTCATATCATTTACTCGATAAAATTCGTAGAAGTACAATGCCGCAAATATTCTTCACATTTCATTCTGAACCACTGGATGAATTTCCACTATATTTAACTAAATGATGCATTTAATTCCACATATGAAATAATATGAAAAATCAAAAAATAACTGCTCTTGCTCTTTTTTTAAAGAAAGCGGCTTCGCTGAAAATTCACCTCAGAAGAACGAGAGTTGAGAAAACTGATCATCGTTTTACTCACATGATGAGTAATATAAATACAAATGGCTGAATACCAAACGATTACAGAAGGGTGTAACACTGATAAATTTTATAAATTTTTAGTTATTACTCCATAAAACTTGACTTTCTACATTTCAGGTAATTTTCCTTATTTTTTTTACTAACTTAAACATTATTTTTTAAAAATATTTTATGAGCCTTTGCCTAACAAAATTGTTGTTAAATTTGTGCAAAGTCTGATTGAAAATTTTATTAATAACTTCGTTAATTTTCTCCCCTTTAGATTAAACATCTATGAGCTTTTATGATACTTCATCGACGAAATTTTAAGAAAAGGAAATAGAAAAATGATTAAAAGCAAATGGAAAAGCGAAGTTTTTAAAATGTTCTACTTTGTTGCATTTATTCAATGGTTTACTTTTTTTTATGCAAAGAAAAAACTATTGAACGAAAATTTGAAAGTTTCCGCATGAAAACAAAACAATGAACAATGAACAAAAAAGAATCGAATTTCAAAATGAGGAATTTAAAATGGCAAGTTTGCAATATTGAATTAATTAAGAAAATTTGAATATATAATTAAAATTTAAGGAATGTTTTGAGGGTCAACTGAAGTATTATTTTATAAAACTTGGATTATAATTCTGCATTTACATCAAATGTTTAAAGCTCGATGGGAAAGCTTTCAAAGAGCTAAGTGATAAATAATTCACCGATTAGCAAATCAGTGAAATATTGTATAAATCCATTCTGATATGCTGCAAAAATTTTCTTATCTAAAGCTTCTTTATCTTCTTTTTATAACTGCACCTAAGTTTTTTGTTTTTTTACAGTTGCAGTAACTTAGAATAAAATGAATTTTTCGCTAGCTAGTAGCTTGACGATAGGAGTGCAAATGCGCCTTCAATAACAACTGTAAAGTTGGGAGTTAAAAGGGTCAATTAATGAGAAAAAATTAAGAAATGGAGTCAAAATGGAGAATTGTCCTAGCAAAAGTAATTTGAGCACATTATGCTTAACCTATTTGGTAAAATTAATGAAAATTAAGAGATGAATAGAGTTTTTTTTAAAATATAAAATTTGGTAATTTTATATCTTTAAATAGTAGCAATAAGTTTATTTATGCGAAAGCATTAATATAGTGGAAAGAGCAATTAAAAACATTAAAACATCGAAAGTAACGAGAAATTGTAGTAAAAGCTAGTGGAGCTATTTACAGCACACTTGAGATATATTAATCAAACTGGTTGAAAGTGTTATCAATAGCAGCATTTTCTTTTCCGTCCATTTCTAGAATTTTTTTTACCTTTAATCAATTTTTCAACAATCCAACAAAAGCATTTCTTCACTTCTTTAAAAAAATTCATGGAAAAGAAGTAGAATTTTTTTAGAGGATTGAAGTAAGCAAGTGGTCATTAATTAAATTTCTGGTTAGGCTGGCTTCAGTGACTAATAAGATGAGATTTTGCCAGAATCACTTCAGGATAGATGGGTCTCACAATTGTGAATTTTTATGATACGGTTACTGCTAGAGACAAGAGACGAACCATTATGTTCGATATGATATCATGATCTAAATAACAACCAAGCTAAAGAATAAGAGCTTATCTGTCCCTTAGGAATTTTTGCAAAAATTATTAAAATATTGAAAGGAATTAGAAAGACGATCAGACTTAATTAATTAAACGAATCGTCAAAGCAAATTTTCCATAAATCATGGCCTAAAATTATATTTAACATAGATAACTAGGTACAATTAATATTGAAGTTCAGAGGACCCTAAACTTAAATTAATAATGTGGGCTGTAAAAAATAGAATAATAATTGAAGGTGGTGGAACTATGCTCGCCTGCCATGCGTTAATATTTTACAAAACCTTGTTCTGGACAGCAACAGAAGATTGTGTTGATCACCGCCCGTAATTATAAAAATTTTAATCTTCACTCTACACCTCAAACTTGGGTAATTAAACCACATTAATATACAGATAGAAAAAATTCGATTAGAGTAGAAGGCAAAGAAATGAATGAAATAAGGGAAAAAATAACAAAAAATGAATGTTTAAATACACAAATACTGGGATCCAACAGCTTAGGTCCTTGATGGCTCCTAAATAAGGGAAGAAGAACGATTTTCTTGAGAAGAACATACAATATATAATATAAATTGGCCTCTATCTTCTATTGACATATGAAATGGAATAAACAAAGAATCGATTAAGTTAATAAATGTTTTTCTTTTGGCGGGTCGAGGTCACCAGTTCGAAATAATTTTAGAAAAGACAAATAATAGTGATAATACAGTAATAATAAAATAAAAATTTTTTTAATAAGAAGATAATCACTAAAAATCGCATGAGACATACCATTTTGCTACATGGGCCTTATAAAACATATGGACCTAAATTTTAAAATTATTCGTTTTGGTTCGGTTTATTCTATTAATTTTCGTCAGAGATATTAATTTTCCTCATTTTATTGATGATTACAGTTTTACAGGTAGTGCCTCCAACATATCTTGATTTAAATTGATTTTAATGACAGGATTACAGGATTACTTCAGAAGGAGAAAGGAATCAAACCTGATTAATGATTCGCGACGAGAATCGAAACAACCAAACCAATCCCTTCATTTCGGAATTTTGGTTTTATCATACACATAAATCATGGCCTAAAATTATATTTAACATAGATAACTAGGTACAATTAATATTGAAAGTAAAAAAAAAGATAATAGGAATGGATTATTGCAACAGGTTATCGTTTTTGAGATGTTCAAATTTCTCGAATGTTTATGCTAATTTTATTGTAGTTCGATTTTGGCAAAATTTTCGATTTCGAATCGATACAAACTCGTACTTTCACATTCTTCTGCAAATATCCAGAACCACGAACTGCTTTCTTTCATGACGAATTAACATTTCCGTAAACTTACATATTACTCAAACGAAATTCCTTACTATTTATGATTAAGTAACTTTTGTGGCAAAATTATACCAGGAACAACGGTAGAAAACCATGCTAAATGAGATAGAAATACCACATAACATGCAACGAATGTGCAGATCATTCGACGATAGCATGCAGCATATTGTGCATAATTATTAAACACTGAAAATTCATTCAGTTCATTTTATTAAATTTCATTGTACAATATTCGTTCTCACACCGTTTTTGCAATGAAAATTCGATTTCTTTTTGCTTTTTTATCATTTTATTGTAAATTATACAATGACGCAGCTGGTCCAATTAATGTGACAAGCAACCTTTATTTATAAAATGTCTGTAAACAACTATGAAATGACTGAAACGAAAACAAAATGATAAAAGCCGACAGCGGGATAAGATACAGTGTTATAACAATGTTAGCTGCGCGGCTTTTAAATTATCTTCAGTGTTTATAGACCTGAGATAATATTATATGCTATTTAAAAAATGTAGTTTAAAATAAGTGTATAAGTATAAAAATAATTATTTTTATAATTATTTATTTAAATTATATTTCAATAATTAATATGTTGCATTTGCAATTAACTAATAAGTTGCATTTTCATCGCCGCTTCATTGTTTGATGTACCTTTTATTCATTTGCTTCTCGATTTTATTTTTCATATTCAATAATTTTTCAAATAACGTTTATGAATTATTATGTTAAACTGAAGTAAGAACAAGCCTATTATCAATAATCTCCAGCAGATAAGTCAATATGATTGCTTTTCGTAAATTTTATGAAAAAATTTTTGCGAGCATTAATATGGTTATTCATATAGTTCATGGTCGATGATTATATCGATAATTGGTTTATATAGTTCTTTTTTTGCTCTAATTCCCCATATAAAATCCACATGATTAAAATCGTATAAGTTCCTGTTCATCTTAATGCTGCCTTCAGGAAATACAGCTATCAATGATTCCTGAAAAAAAATTCGAAAGCAAGCACTTCGGCCAAACAGGAATTAAATTCAGCAGGTAGAAAGCTTCCCTGTCAATTCTTAGTGAAACATAGCTAATCTATTTAAAGGTGATTTATTCAATTTTTTGACATAACATATATAAATAAACAAATTTTGCATCCTCTCCCCGTTTCACACAGCCTCAGCAAACCATTCAATCACGACCTTCTTTCTATTCCTTCAAATCCCATAATACTTCAAAATTTTCTCGAACGCCTTGTTAAAACTTTCTTGTGTCTCATTTATTTTCCTTTAAATTTCGCCATTATTCCCGTTAGAGAAGACGACACATATAAACTGAAAAATCGCCATTTCGTTATACTTTCTAAACGCCTCGCATATTTCCCCATTTTCTTTTATTATTTTCTGAAAGCCTTATTATGTTTATTTAATACATTCCAAAATATAATTTTTTCACTACATCACCCCAGCTTCGTTGAGCCTTTTTAATATTATATTTTTATATACTTTCATAATACCTTTCGAATACGTCATACTTTCTTGATGTACCTCAAATAACTTTACATTGTTTCCAAATTTCTTCGAACCTTCATATTTCCTTATCATTATTAAGCCTAATTATACTCCCTTGATATCCTCTGAAATCACAATATGCCTCTTTCCTGAATATACTTTTGCAGCTCAATTTTGAATATAATTCTCCGTTATACTTCATAATATCCTTTCAAACTGCTCTAGGAATAACCTTCAGTCCCTTTATACTCCCTTAATCTTCAGAATACGCTATGAACTCTGTTTTGTTTCTTTCCAACCCTATTATATTTTTTTGCCATTTCCATTCTCAAAAAGCCCATTATGCTATTTAATATCACTTCAAATCTTTCAATTTCTACGTGCTACTGTATTTTTTTGCCATAATCTCATGATAACATGACCTTTTTTTAAAGAGTTTTTATCATTACTGGTTAAACTCTCTCCGCTGGCTTGTCGCATAGAACAAATATGCAAGAGAGTCCCTTGGCGATAGAAATACAGGTGAGCATTATCCGGATTTTTAGACAGATTTACTCCTACTGGGAATAGAACCTTAGTATCTGCGCTCCTAATTGAGCAACAACCCACTAAACCATCCTATCCCCGATAACATGACCTTAAATCTCATTTTCTTCAATGCTTCAGTATATATGCTTCTTTTCTTTATATTTTCGCAACACCACGCAGATTCTAATGAAATATTTCTATGCTTTTTGAATTTTGATTTGCTCTTTGCGAAAAATTTAAATTTTATTGATTATGAAGCATCTTTTGACTGTAATAGTTTCTGTCCTCCTAGATACTTGAATCACTTTTTTAGCAATATTTTTTATTGGAAGCCACAAGCAGAGTATGAATCTCTGCAATTCAGAAGTTCAAATATTAGATTCAGCGACCTCTTCTTTTCAGTAATGGAAAAAGAAGGGTTAATAAGATGTAATTGTAGTATAGCAATCTTACCCATAATTCTGAGGAAGGATGTTACGACGAACTATATGGTCAATGAATCATCCTGCTATATACTTATTTTTGCAAGATTTTATTCGCCTTTTGCTGAACAGGCCATGGGAATATGTGACAGCAAGATATGTTTTGCCAAGGTTGAGTTTAAGCTAAGAATGATAATGGAACACTCCCTAAAATTGAAAAGAATGTCTAGGATGGCACTCTGTAGGGCTACATAAACGAATGGAGTTCCAGCTAATCTTATCGGATTTATATGGCCAGCGAAATCAAAACAATTCAGCCTTTCGATAAAAAATTATTGTAGAGAGGCTGAATTCTTTTTTAATATTTAACTATGAAGAATGCTTATCGACATCCAGGGAGTGTGATTAGTCCTAAACGTTCGAATCCGGCCGAAGCATTACCCGTTCCAGATTAATGTGGATAAAATGAAACTAAAATATATCAGACACCGATAAAATATCTGAATGCCTCTTTAGCTACGCTGTATTATGTGTGCCTATAACAGAAACTAAAACACCTATCTCACTATATGCCTTCTAACAAAAACGAATGGCGAAATCAGAGAGATTTCGAAAACATAGGTAATCTGGCAGATATGGTCTCTTAATAGGCCATTAACCTTTTCTTCCTTGAAATTTCCAATGCTTTCAAATCTCAATCACATACATTGTTCTGTTTCAGAAATACTCTCCTTAAATGTAAGCATTTCTTGAAAAACTTCCTTAACTTCTTTAGACTCCTTATCCAGAAATTTTATTCGTGTATATAAGACTGTAAAGTATTGATGGCAATGTTGGAAACCATCGCACGGATAACCTCTTTGGTTGCGGAAACCTGGGAACCTCTTAGAACCTTCATTCTTGTTTACTTAAATAATTGGAGCGAAGTCCGCTCAAAGAGTAAATTTTTACCTTAATGTCGATTTCATCCGCAAGCCAATCGTTGCTACTCCAAAGTAAATAAAGAGAGCTATTTACTTGTGCCATATTGTAAAAAGGTGGAGACTTCTAAATTATAAATAGTAAATTTTATTTATCTGAATTCAATTGCTTAGAATTTCACTTTTTAAATTTTTTTTTAAAATAACTTGTCCATAATGAAGCATATTTTCAGCAACTGTTCCGAAATCATAAGCTTGTATTTGTCCACTGTAAACCATTTGAATCCAGTGGAAAAGATTTTGAGCTGACGTTCCAGCGGGCGTATGGCTGAGATAAACAGCTGTACGGGTCTGCAAAATAAGAGATAAAAACCATTTTAAAGGAGAAGTAGAGAACAGAGTACATGTTCTTTCAAATATTGTGCAAGTTATGTCAGAACATCAGTTTAAGACCACTTCAAAATATCTGTATGTAAAGCTATGAACTACTTAATAAGAGTAAAACGTAAAGACTATCAGTATAAAATAAGAATTTATCTACCTTATTGAGCTGATTGCTATCTGGTCCAACGATAAGGAAAAGAAAATTATCACAAAATACATTGGTATACGCCATGCCACAAACAAATCTAGCCAATATTTGTGAAATCCAATTGTTTGGTAAAAATTCTTTGTTGCCGAACAAATATTTCATTAACTGGAAATAAGGTCTTAAGTTATGAATACACAAACTAATACACATAATTTTTTATTCGTGCCATTTAACTTCGTTTCTTGGATATAAAATTTCCTGTATTCCCCATATCTAGTAATATTAGTATGGTTTATCAATTCGTAACAACTTAAACGGAAACAAAAATATACTGCGAGGTATGATGAGGCACTAAGGGATATAGAGAAAGTGGGTAGTGCAAAGGAGGAGCAATTGGATTTGAGAGGCCAAAGAGGTAGAAATGACCAAAGAGTACAGCGATGCTTTGGTGGGTGTTACAGCTTTCCTTATCAGAATTTAGGAATGGAAAGGCGAGGCTTTCACAAAATAAAGCAAAATATAGTTTTGGCTTTTTTTTCGGCCAAACACTAATAAAGCACTTTATTATATAAATAGAATTTCAGGCGCCTAGAAGAAAGATTAAAATGAGGATTGAAGAGGATGCTAATGGGGAGTTTGGGTTGACTCTAAGGCAGTATAATAGCTAGCAATAAATGGTTACAAGAAAAGAGGGCCACAAGATAAGAAATCATACATACTTCAAGGTATTAACATAGCTCACTTAAGTGCATTCCTGTTTGGTTTCGGAGAGCTTTTCTTATAAATAAACGGTCCAACAATGAATTTCCAAAGAAGTCGTCATCAATGTGGGCACCTTATTTCAACTGAATAGATGAAAAAATAGTGTTGAAAAATTTCTTTCATAATCAATATCAAGGGAGAAGCATAGAGAGTATTTACAGGTTATGAGGACTATTGAGCCATAATAATTATGTTCAAAAATGAGCAAAATCGATTGAAGACCAATAAAAGCATGGCTGCAATTTTGTATCGATTCCATTTCTTTTTGGGACTCAATTGATTATTCGATTTATGGTCGCAGGTGAGTGGTGGGGTGTGGGTAGCTTAGTGTTTTTATGGTTTTGTTTATAATCTGGTAAATTGTTTTGTTTTTGTTTAGATCGGTAAGATATTGTAATGTAATATATCGTTAATTGATTTTATGTTGTTATCTTCACTTTAAATAAAGGTTTAATTACTCAAGTTTGAGGTATCACAACGATCGATTACGATTACGATACTTTTTTGACGGAAAAGGATAATGACTTCGAAATAAAACGCTACAACATATCCTTTTTTCGTTACAGTAATATGGTGATGCTTTGGTGAGTTGGAGCCATACATATTAGCATGGTTAAGGCAATAAAAGAAAGCTAAGATGATATTACTAATGGTGCAAAGAGGCAGGATAATGGAATGGATAACGGTTATCGTGTTAAGAGGTAGTTAAAAGGAAATTTGACTCTACGGAATAGGCCATTAAAAAATCCCGATGGTGCTTACCTGTCGGGTGGTGCTAGCGAATCACCTGTATTTCTATTGCCAAGGGACTCTCTGGCATATTTATCCAATGCGACAAGCCAGCGGAGCGAGTTTAAGCAGTAATAGTGAAGACTCTAAAAAAAAAACGAAATACAGAGGCCTAATAGTTATGCTAGTTTAAAAGAATATTTCTAATAGGTCAGAGCAAAACAAGCATATCAAGTTTTGAAGGATATATATGATTTTTCGCCGCGACACACGTAGTTTGTTATATACGCAAAACGGAATGGTTAATAAATTTAATATGAGGCATCAACAAAAAACAGTTCTATTCTCACTCCTCTGTAGCCGGTCATGATCATTCTCAACCTCGGTTTCTCTACCAGAGGCCTAAGAGATTGAGAGTTGTGCGCACTATGTTAACTGTTCTTAATATGCCAGGGAGACCCTTCTCTTCTCGATAGAGATCTCTGATGTTGTTCTTGGAATCTGCTGAAGCAACTTTTCTAGTCTAGTGGTCTCAACTCCAAGTGATCCAATTATCACTGGAATTGTTTTACGTTCCAAATCTTCTGTATTTTCTCTTTCAGCCCTTAGTATTTCTCTAACTTCTCATATTCCTTCTTCTTGACATTCCTGTCGTTTGGTATTGCTATATCGGTCATCAGTGCTGATTTTTGATTTTTGTCCATTACCACGATATCTGTTTGATTGGCCAATACTTGTTTGTCTGTTCGGATGAGAAAATTCCACAGAATCTTCGCTTATTTAACCTTGGGAGGGTCTAAACCATATCGTGCATGTTCATGTAAATTATGCCAGCTATTTAATTATGCCTTTCAGTATGTGTTGTTTCTGCTGCATTTTTACATCTTTCGACTACGTGTTTGACCGTTTCTGAGGCGTTTTGCGTGGTCTGCATTTAAGTCCTATCGTACCTTGTTTCGATGGATCTAGTGCTTGCTCCTGTGCTACCATGGTCAGTGTCTCAGTCATGTTTCCTTTTAGTCCAGCTTTTTCCAATCATTGGTAGGACATCACGATATCAACTACCTCAGCTATCTGGTGCAATCCATGGACGGCCTTGCTTTGCAGTAGTATTCCTCTACTTGATCGCTTTCCTGTATATCTGTACTTCCTATGCTTCAGACGTTCCGTTCTTCCAGCAATTCATCCTTTGATGTTACCTTGCTTCGAGTTTCGTTCAAGATAGTGGCTTTCACACTCACCAAGCCCCACTAGCCTTCTTTCCGGCTGGTGTATAGACTTTGGATATTGGACTTGGAGTGGAAATTTCCGTGCACTGTAAGGAGTTTCATGATCTTTACATCAGCATCCTCCATGTTTTCCTTTGACCATGTTACAATGCCAGCTGCTGGCTGGCAGTACATATATATAGCACGTATTTTGTTCTTCCCATTGAACTGGCTCTTCAAGATTCGTTTTGTCCTTTAGTGATACTTAGATGTTGC